CAAATATGATTTCGTGCTTAAGGGAATTCGTAAATAATACAAAAATTTATTTCGAGCAAAATCGAACCCTACACCTCCAGCAGAATCCTACTAGCAACCATGTTACCCCACCACAATCGATGAAGTTGCAGACAAAGTACTGAAACTTTAGCACCATTCTAGTACGTTGGTTGCAAACAGTTGAGCAACTAATGAAGGTAAGAAGTGCCCAGCGGTAGTATTATGACAAAGCTCTGGAGAGACAAATCGAGAAGCATATTCACAGGTCTTGTCTTTTAAATATTTGTCTGGAAAAGGCACCACGAATGAAATTTTACAGCAGAAACTGAAAACGACAAAAATTGCGATTCAAAAATTATCATTTGAATTAGGGTTATATGTTTTGATGCTCCGCGACCAGAAAAGAGAAGCAACGATGGAAGATTAAGAAGAAGATGGTGTGTTCTGATGCCCAAAGATGTCATAAGAGATCACATGATGTGTTGAACGAGGGAGAGTATTTGTTCCAAAACATGTGTACACTTTTGAAAACATTTTAAAGAACCTACTAATCACGAAGAATATCCTGTGATAATCATTTCTCCGTCTTTCCCAAATATTTTCTGATATATGTACGTTGATACCCTTAGACAGAATATTTGAATTTTGGGTAAGCTGATTCTCTGATTCTAAAATTTAGTTTCTTCAAACGAATAACGTGTGTAAACTGTATTCTACTCATGATGCAAGAAAATTCATTATCTATGATACAAAGCTTTGTTCTTATTTGTTTTTGCGCCGTAACTTCGCAATTTCCCGAAGTTTATTAGATTTTTTATCATAAATTTATCAAATTATTGAGTCATGCAGTTAGGCCTTTGTTTTCATAAATATCTCTGCAAAAAAATCTTCCCCATCCCCCGGTTAAAAACATGTTTATGTAGTAACCGTTCGCGATGATGAGCTGGCTTATTTTATGATATTTTTAAAGTTCGGTCCTTTGTTTATTTCATAATCTGTGTGAGGCGTTCACATTTGCATAAGGTGATGACTTGGCTGAACTTCCAACGTATTCGATTTCGGTTTGAAGTTAATCTATTTTCGTTCTTTGAGGGTGTCAAAGATCTGCGATGCATATCGTTGTTGCTCTGTCACTTGGGACGCATTTTGAATGGTTTATCACTCCGATTGTAATAAGGCGTGATTTTGAAGCTTGCTTCACAATGTCAGTGTGTTTTTATTCTCCGGTTCGTGACCTTCCGGAATACGTTGTCATGATTATCTCCCTTAGAATTTTTGTTTAAAGTCTTAAGTGGTAATCTGTTTGTCTCTGTGAGTGAATGTGATCATGGGTTAAAGCTTAATAAGAAAATGATTTTGGTCTGCTATCTGTCGGATTCTTTGAGTATATGATGTTTAGCGAGTGCAGTCAACCGATGCATGTTTACTGACTTCCCAATAAGGAAGAACCGGAGGTATTATGTCTACTGATTCCGATATTTGAAAAGTTACAAACTGCCATTTTACTATAGCATCTCTGTTCTCGAACTTCTTCCTAAATCATGAATGCTATTCTTGTTGCGCCTGATAATGTAAGCAGTTTTTTTAAGAATCATGTGTTTCGTCCGCCCACTTCTTCGAAACAGCAATGTCATGAAATAATGATTTTTCTAATGAGCTTTATTGAATAAACACTCAACAGTTGTGAAGGTGCGAACTACATGTATGGCTATTGTATCGGCTGATGAAGACCTATCCAAAACCGTGCTCTTCTGGGAAGTCAAAAATGGCCGCAGACCACGTCGAAGATCAACATCGCACCGTAAAGCAGCTGCAGAGGCAGACTTGCGAAGAAGAGGAATATGGCCATTGCCACAGCACCTAAAATCGCCTGAGAAATCATTCTGAAAAACCAAAGTATCAGATAGCATTATCTGGTTATTTGGTCATTTACCCTGATACCTCAGATGACGACGACGACGGCAACAACGCTGTTTCAGCTTTCAAAGTGCTGCAGTGTCCGCAAAAATAGCATAGGAAAAATCGCGCCTGTTGAGCTTGTTTTGCCATATTCACTCGAAAAGTGGCATGGTCAGTCTTGACTATCTGTTCTGGTTTTGAGGGTTTACACTTTTTATCGATTATCACTTGAGGCGAATTACAGCCTTGAGAGACGCACCTATCAGCCAGTATGACTCATTCTAGTATTACCGATTCGAAATACCACGCCGACTCCGTTGATCGTAGGTCAACGAACTCGCTACCGATCTCTCGGTTTGTTGTAGCAAGGCAATGAGGAGCGAGAATTCATTGTTCATAGCAATTCGCGCTTAGGAAAATTATAAAATTTGTTTTCAAAATTTCAACCCCGGAGTTCAAAGCCGATCTGTTGCCATTGCTCCATCTCTTTCCCTTATCTTCAATTCTGCTGTCATTACCCCATCGTCCAGTTCCATCTTATGGACACGGACTTTGCTTTACAGGCGATTGTTGAAGTCGACAATGGGTTATTCCTTATCTTCAGTTCAGCCTCTCACAGTTCAGACTGACATCGATGACGTAGACGATCTTGCTGTGAGGCGGTCGACTCTTCAGCCAGTATGTTGATGGTACAACTTTCGGCAAGTCCACTGCAATTTTTTTTCGGTTTAGATTTTTCATATTACCATTTGTCATTCTTAATCGTTCGCTGGGGTGGTAGGATCCTACAAAATCTCTTGAGGTAATAGTAGTTACCCCCCCCCCCCCTTTAACGAAAAAGCTGTGACATACTCTATGATTGTTGATCTACTCCGTTAGTAATGCTTTCTTCGTTCGCCGTAGAGAAGAACGCGTTGTTGATTGTTTTGTAAAAAATTTTGAGATTTAATCAAAGCGATCAGGGTTCATTGCGCCGCTAACTAGT